CAACTTACTATTAACCTACTTCTTACTAGACAGCTGTGTGTTGGAGAAATCTTACTGGAAAATAAATATGTGTGTGCCTATTTTTGTGTGGGCAGGGGATGGCTTAGTTTTATAAAGAAATATGGGATATGCAATCATGTTGTTTGCTGTGCATATTATAATCCATTTTCATCTAATAGTAGCCAATTTCAGACAAATTCTACAAAGTATCAGAATCTCAAAGACATTACAGTCCAACATAAAAAAAGATCAGCATGACACGCAGTGCAAGAATTGCAGATAGCCCCTGTGTCATTTCTTTCATGTCAGTGGTGAAGAGTTGAGACAATTTCTATGGGTCCTTGGCCAGCTGACAAACCAGCACTCTTGTCTCTTGCCATTCTGCTAAAAAATGTCAGTAGGTTATGCTTGAGGGTCAATGATGTCATGAAGGGACATCTTGCAAAGTCTACGGAGGTTTGCAAGACCAGCTGTAGTGTCTCTTCAGTAAATGGTGAGTTGGATATCTCTGGACTGAGGATAGCAAAACTGGAAAACATTTATCACATGACTGTTTTCAGTTAACTTGCATGTATATAAAGACTGGTCCCTTTGAGCCATGATTTTAATCCCCAGAGCATACCCATACCCTTTCCCCTTCCAAGACCAGTGGAGGCCCCATCAGCCTTGAACAATGTAGGACTCTACTCGGTTGCATTTCAGGAACTCCTTCCTGAAAATCTCTAGACTGTGATACTTATTTCCACAACAATTCCATTCATCTCTGGGCTTTGGAGAAGTAAAAAAGTTAGAATAAAGGAATAGTTTGGGTTGACAAGTCCCTCTGGAGGTCACCTGGTCCAACCTCCTTGCTCCAAGGGCATTGAAAATTTGAAGTGAGATGAAAACTTCAAGTACAATGGTCTTCTCCCAGTCACCTGTTGTAGGACTGCGTCTCAATTCCAAAATAATAAATGCTGAATAGAGAACAATGTTCTTTATTATTAGAATGTAAAATGTTAACGGAAATCCCTGAGCTGAGATCCCATAACTAATACTTGCATGGACTATGCCTCTCTCTGTGTCCAACCCACAGGTCTACTAGTCCTCTGTGGTTCTTGTGAAAGAGTTAAAATTTTTAATCCAAGCAGTCTGATCCATACTATCTTCCACTGCAAACAACTGGGCTGTTATTTGCATGCATTTCATGCCCCATCTCTTCTTCCCATTCCATCTGGTTTGGGTGTGGAGACATGTCACTGACTTCAATAGGAAGAGCATTCATCTCTTAATTTAGATGAACTCATCTGTGTAATTACTTACAGGCCCATGTTACTAGAGAGGGAATATTTTGCCAGAATTAAAAGATTCTTGTCACTGCTCAAGGACAGTTTTGTGAGTGAAACTGTCTGGGAAGTTACTTAAATCTCTTCAAAATTGATGACAAGGTTTCCAAAGTTTAGCTCTTATAAGAGAGGTGACCACATTGTTTGTCACAAAAGGAGAATTACATGTATTTAGCGACTAAAAGACTTCCTTATTTTTAGAAATGAATAATATTTTTAGATGTTGCTATGGAAGCAGCTTTGAACATGATCAGAATGGGGTAATACAGGACTTAAAATGTACTTGCAGAAAATTGCCTACTCACTCTTTGAGCACCCTAAAGACCTCAGGAAATTTATAAGATGACATAAACTATAAATGTAAGAGGAATCATTACATAACTCCAATCAGCTGAAATAATTTCAGAAATGAGATTTGTAGTGATGAGGTACACTCTTGAAACTCTAACATGGACTATAAACTGTAAGACTTTGCTTCTGGAGGGAACTTAACCTTACTCAGTAAAAATCCTCCTGTGGAACAAGATCTGTATAACAGGAGACACATTGATAGTCAAAATTGTAAAATTGTGGACCTGTTTTAATCTGCTTTCGAAGCAAACAGCTATGTAAGTTTATCTGTCCAGTGATACTTTCAGCAAACTCCTCATAGTTGAATGCACAATCTGCCATCTTAGTGTGTCTCACGACATTAAGCACTTTATCTTTCTACTAAATTATAAATAATTTCTAGGTCATTGACCAGTCTGAATCTATTTCACCAGTAAACATGTCAGTATCAACTGGATATATGAAGAAATACTGTGAGGACCTGAATGCTTGCAGCTTCCACTGAGAACAAGGTGAGGTCCATAGAAAACAAAAAGGTCCTTTTTTCGCCTGGGTAAAACCTACCACAAGGCCAGCTGTCTGATCAAATATTACGAAGCACTAGTCATGTTGTTTCTCCTTTTCCCAATAACCCTCAGCCCTGCGGATGGAAGTCCACAGGAAGAAGGGTGAAAATTAAGAAGTCAGTGTATTGTTTCTTCCTGCCAGCCTCTGAAATTTCTTGAGAAGAGGTGCAAAAGTTGCTGAGACCTTTGAATGTTTGTAAATCCTTCATAGCAGTGTTTAAAAAAAACAACAAACCAAACCAAACCAAAAGAAAAACCCCAACAACAAACAAAAACCAGGAAGAGACTAGCTTAAAATCCTAAAATACTTTTTTAAACAGAGAAGCAACTGATAATTCAGGGTAGCATTCCCTGGTAGGGTAGCATGGTCAACATACCTAAATTTAAGAATGCAGATTAACGAACCTGAATGTAGGTCCCTCTCTCTGCATTAGCCTTTTATTCGAAGGAGATTTAATCAACTTAACTAAGTGGAGCCTAAAGAGTATAAACCTTCCAGGGTCTAAACTTATGAATTCAGAACTTTTCTCGAGGTCCTGGGAAAGACAAATAAACAGTGTCACTTCAGATGATTATATCTAATAGTCAATATAGTAAATCCATTAATAATCCCCCAGAAGCTCTTCAGGGCATGAACTGACTGCTATTTTGTCTATGTGTGGGATTTAGTGTTTTGAGATCTTCTTAGTAGGTTTTTAGATTTGATTATAAAACCCAAAGATAGCATTAATTCATTCATGTCCTTGTAACCAACATCTTTAAAACACTCCTGGATTATTACTGTGTCTATTCCTCTATCTAAATGTTCTCCAAGCCTGACAGCATGAATGAACCTTCCCAGTATAAAAATGGAAATGACAAAACAATTTTCTCTGGAACAGGCAGTATGAATTATATATATTTTTGGTCCTACTACATTGCCAAGATTAAAAGATGTAACTATATTTATCATTATCCATGAAGCATCTGAAATGTTTCACTGAATGATATTGACAAAATGTAGAAAAAATAGGAAGGAATAGATGGAAGTGAAAAACAAGGTATAGAAAGGAAAGACTGACAAGGCAAAACATCCTGCTTATCTGAACAACAGATGCAAGTGAATGTGAGAAAAGAGTCTAATATTTTAAGATTTTAGAATTATACAGCAAATTGTGTCTAACTAAAAAAAATGAAATACTCTATTGTCAGGGACATGGATACATCTATCCTAATAGGCCATTCCATCTCTGAATGCTGTCTTTAGCTGTTGGCCTTCTGTGAACTCTCTCCAGTTTATCAGCATTTAATGCCCTTCACTCCACCAGCTTCTAGAAGCAGGGTAGTGCAGACTTTCATTTAAGCTTTTGTCAATAGTGCTGCAATAGTTTATTGACAAAGCATGATCTGGGATTCAGACCCAGATTCATCCAACAACGTGCAACACTGCAGTGAATTAAACCAGCTAGTGATTGTAGGATTTTAAGAACAGGTTATGCAAATCTGCCAAGAATGGTTTCAGTAACTGTTTCTGCCTGACGAGAAGGGGCAAAGAAGGCAACTTTTTGTGATCCTCCTAGCTTTAGTGTGTGGAAGAAAAAAATGACATAATAATTTTGGTTTGCTGCAGACAGATGTTTTTCTGTTTTGCATTTTAAAATTGTTTCTTCTCCCTTAAGGGTTGAATTTTTTGCATTTTGAATGCATGAAAAACCAACATGAAATCCACATAAAATCTTTTTCATGTCTAATCTACTCCACTTGAAATCACCTTTAAGTAACAACTCCCTGCTGTTAACTTACTTAGAAGTGAAGCCCCTGACTCAGTGATTTCAAAATTCAGCATAACTTCATTCATTATTGCCCATGCCCCCCACACCTACAGAACAACTATTATTTGCTCCTTGTTGGAGAAATTGGAACGAAAAGACTAAGCAATCCATACTAGTTCAGTGCTTCTCCTCTCGGCTCTAATTTGCTTGGGATATAGTAGAGTTGAATACAAAAAACTTTAGAGTAACAATTATTCAGAGTGAAAAGAGGAAAAAAATGCAATCTAATCTCCAGGATTATTCTTTGTACCAGTATTTGATCCTATTTGTGTAAATTCAGTGAAGAATTAATTTTTTTTCCCTGCCTGGACCTATTGATTGCTTTATTCTTCATTGCAATATCTGATTATTCAAGACCTGAACAAAACAAATAGACCTATCTTTTCTCACTTAATATCTTTTTTGTTCATTTGTTTTTTTTCAGTTGCATTTTCCATTTAAAACACAAGGGGGTGAGCTAAGGAGAAACATTAATAACGTAGTAAAAGAAAACAAACCCAAAAACATGGAATAAGAACTTGTTGTAAAACAAGAATAAAGTGAGGTTTCCTCACCAGCCAGGAAAAAGAAGGTGAGCACCTAAGGGCTCTTTTAGTAGTCAAGAGAAAACTGACTCCCAAATCTTCTTGCATCTTCCATCTTTACATATATTAACTCCTTAGTAACTAGATACATTCAAGAATAATAAGCTCAAATCCCATGTTTGCCTCCAATTTGGACATCATTCTTGCACATGTTAGTGGCCTGACAGAAGAAAACTATCCATGACCAGTACCTCACCTCTCCTTTATTGGCACTTGGGTTTCTGGAGCCAGACAGAGAAACTGGTTCAGCTGAAAAAAACATACACACAAAAAGTTAATTAGTTTCCAGCTGATAAAATCTCTAATCTGTTCCTTTGCTCACCCACGTGAATGCTCGTAGAGCATAAAAGCTCCATGCAGAGAACCAGCTTGTACTGGATTGAAGTGACTGTGTACCTACAGCTTGATAATTGCATTTGTCTATTTTGGAGAAATGCTGTTACATCTTACGGTTTATTGCCTGCAAAGGATTATGAAACTCCCTGATGGTAAGTGTTGCAAAAGAACAATGTCTTTTATAAATCTGTACTCATTTTTGGCTTCTTTCTCCTCTTCCCCTATTCCCTACTGAGCATATATGACTTTCCCACGAGATGTGTACTTACTACTTCTGACCTGAAACCTTCAAGATATGCAGTGCCTGCTGCTCAGTGTATTTCCAACACTGCATATGATGGAAGGTTATGTGTTTTCATAGGTGAAGAAGTCTTCAGTAGCTGTCAATTGTTTAATATAAAGTCTCCTTTATGTCAGTGAATTTGTTGCTCATGATTTAGAAAATTTCATCCAGTATGACCAGGATCATTAATGAAGTGACGAACCTATTCCAAGTAAATAAAGAGAGAAAGTTTAGACAGAGAATATTTTGGTTTCCCAATTAAATGATTTCATACAGGCTTTATATGCATGCCCCAACACCCCCACCATATTTTCCCTGTTTTCATATTTTTCTACAAAACATGCCTTTGATTTTTCACCTCACACTTTCAAAACTTTCCCCTACCAAAGCTTTTCCTTGTTCCTTATTCCAAAACACCAATTGGTCATCTGTGCACTTCCTACTAGCTTTGCTTTTTTTCTGTGTTTATTCTATGATACCAGCTTTGACTTTAAGCTGCAGCTGTGCTCTTGCTCCTGAACAATGCAAGAATTTTCTCTTTTATTAAATTATTTTTTTATTAAAAAGTAATTAAAAAACCAACCCACAGTATCCATTTTTATTTCCAACTGCTGTTGTTTCCCCCTTTCTTTATCTGCAGCTGCCCTCTGGAGTTCTTCTCCCTTAATTCCATTTTAGTCTTCCTCTCCTTTTTTTTTTTTTTTTTTTTTTCATTTTCACTTCTTACACCATTCTCACCACCGTCTCTCATGACTTCCTGACCAAAAATCAGAATATGCATATTCTCTCCTCTCTCTTGACCTGTTAGCCATCTTCTCTAGAGTTGATCCGGCACTTCTTCTTGTTTTTCCTTCCTAAGATCCATTAATTTTTCTTTTCTCATCCTCCTCTAATTTCACTAGGCACTCCTCATATCTTCCAGAGGATCATTGTTTGTTCTTTCTCTACCCTTTTATGATGGTTATGCCCTCACTGTCCCGGGTCACCCAGGGTGACCAGGTAGGTTCCTGAGCTCTACAGTTTGGATATCTGTATTTTCCAAGGAAACTTACCTCATGCTTCAAACCCAACAGGGCTGCAGCATAGTTTTTAGTCTTTTCACTGATTCATTGCACAATTTTCTTTGTCAACCACTAAATAAATACAACTATCATGCTGATACATCAATTCATTGAACTAGGAGTCTCCATAAACATAGGGATATTTCACATCTAAATCCTTTTTAATCATCTTTGAAGATGTTATCTTTTATATACATAAAAAACTCTCACTCTAGTTCTCAACCTGATTTCCACTGTATTTTTCCTTTGTTGTTCATCTCATTTTAAACCCAGCAGAGACTGCTCTCTCTCACTCTGCTACGTCACCCCACTGCCTCCCATTTCCTCTCACCTGGAGTTTTCTAATGCATTTTATGAAGTTCACCCATCCTCTTCCATTTACTAACAAGCTGTTAACTCTAAAATAAATATGTTAGGTCATCCTCAATGACCCTATTATTTAATTGCCAAAGACTTATTTACTTTGCCTGTTCTGCCTGTCTCAGCCGAGATAGGCTTCCTATAAATAATAGCAAAGCTATCTTGTTGGTCACCTTTACATCTTTCTTTACATTCTTTTCTTTACCACATACCTTAACCAGTCTGTGGGTTCTGTGCTCATAAACCTGTCCATTGTGGTTATATCATTAGTTCCTTCTACTCTCTGTTTCTCTACATTCAACTTTATTTTCATGTCTTATGCTTTGTTGAAGGTTCCTTCACTAAGAGATTATATTTTCTCCTGCATTTTCTACTTTAGGGTTCCCTGTGTTTCTCCAATATACCACAGGATTCAGTAAAATCCTCAAAATCATTTGGATAACTGAGCTTTTGATTCTTGTCTATTTACACAGAATCAAACACCAGTGAGTAAAATCTTTGCCTTTCCTTTTCCACTAGTAAAAAAACCCCAACCAACCAACCAAAACAAAAAAAAAAACCAAAACCCCAGAAATAATAATAATGCATTTTGTGCATATTTTAGAAAATAATGGTGCTTCATCCATACTTCTGGAGTAAGATTGGATTGTACTTTTGATGGGCTTTAGGAATTTAGCTTTACCTCTTTCCCTTAATTTCATTTCCCTTCTCAGTCTTACTCTCAGTAATTTATGTAGAAATGCTGATCATGCTACTGTGGAGCCTAGAGACATGAATAAGGGAGGCCATGTCAACCCATCAATCGCTTCACCTTCAAGATCTATTTTTCAGAGGAAAATCTGTTACTTAATTTTTCCCACGTTAACTGGGTTGCCAAAGAAGGAAGACACAACTTTACCCTTGGAACTATTAAGTGAATCTGGAGCTTCTGGAACGGAACAGCATTAGAGGGTTTCAGATGCATCGTTTTCTCCTAAAATTACTCTGCAGTTTTTAATTTTTTTTTTTCTAGTTTGGCCCATTAGAAATGTCATGACTTCTTCATGGCCACAGCATTGTTAATGTGGCTGTTCAACTACTAAATGGCTGTTTATCCTCTACTGATGTATAAATAATGCTTTCTAGATACCTCCTGGTTGATCAAGTGTTCACAGTTATTGAATAGCTAAAATAGCTTAGATGCCTACTGAAACCTGCTTTTATCTGCCTACATATTTTCTTGCCTCTCTGTCAAAGAACTTACAGATATTTCTTTTTCCTTTCCTCATCTACACCCAAGAAGCATATTTGCTAAATCAAAGCAATCAAAGATTTTACAGCCTGGATCCTCATTTTAGTTAGAAAATCCTAGATTGCAGAGCCCCTAGATCACAGGGGCTCATCAAAAGAACTAACATTTTTGACACTCTATTGCAATAATATGAAGTTTTCTTACTATCAGACATTTTGAAGCCCCTGTGCTCAACTGCAGTTTTGTGACACCAGTACTTTAGTAGCACAGAATTTTATGTATCATCTCCACCATTTGAAAATCTGTCTGGGTCAGTTTTCAAATCTAAAAGACCACTGTGACAAAGAGAAGATGAATGTTGTGCTTGAAAACGTGTCCTTTTTTTTTTTTCTTTTATTGTTATTTTTCAGAATCCTTTAATAAAAAGTTGTTTGTCTCCCCCCACAAATCCTCCCTCACTCAGCACTACTGAAGCAATTTCAACCACTTGTGAAAATATTGTCCCAAAGCTGATGGAAATCAACATAAATACTGCAGTGTGTTTTGGACCAAGTCCTTCTTTCAATATTGGTGACTTTATTCTAAAATCAATGTGCTAAAAACAAAAAGACAAACATGTATAGATGTTGAATAAAATTGGAACTGGTACTGTGAGTCAGATGATGCAGGAATAGAAGCTAATTTTCTTTACTCAATTACTTCCAAGTAGTAATAATTATTAGGAATCTACCCAGTTACAGAGTATCATAGCTGCATGAAAAAACCTTCAGGTCATCCTGCCTAATGCAGCTGTTAGTGGGAAGTCATGCTGCATTGCTTCTACCTATTTCTCCCTGGTGGCACAAAATGTGCTTTGACATGTGTCTCTTGCCTGTGCAAAGCTGTCTGGTTTATTATTCAATGCAAGTCCGTGCTAGACAAGTAATGCACACCCTGCTAACAGCAGCAAGGGGCCAGAGGAAGCTCTGTGTCAGTGTATTGCAAATATTAGCTCTGGAACACATAAGTTTCATTTCCCATTAATTTGTGGTCGCCAGATGGTGAATCATCACTTTTGTCAATCTGCAGAATGACAGCAGCATTGCTGTTGACTCCCCATCCTTCAGATATTTCGCAGACAGTGCTTCAAATGCTGTTCATTTTATCTTTTACCATATTGACGTTTTTGGCAGTATGGTTTTACTCTCTAAATTCCATTTGTTTTCTTGAAATTCCTCTTTACTGCTGTTTATTTTAGTCTTAGCTTTTATGAGCTGCTCACCCTGAATATCATTGCTATGCATGAGTTTTAAAACCAAACAAAAAAACTCCAGGTTTATTTATTGGAGTTATTCACATCTGCAAAACAGGAAAATTTTTTGCTTTGTTCCCAGGGGCAATATAAGCTTTCAGAGAAGGTAAAAATAACAGGAGAAAAGATATAAATTAGTTATACTTCTAAATGTAGGTGGACAAATAACAAATGTTAAAAATCTGACACTAATAAAGAGCAGTTTTAATTCCATTATAAAAAAATATATTTATTTGCAAAATAAATGAATAAATTCCACAGGGTCGTCGAGTGGTCGTGTGGACAAACTGTGGTGGTGATCTACCCTTCCTGTGCTCCATAGTACTGCTTCTGCTTCTCTTTTCCTCCTTTCCTACACCTTTGCCCTTTTCTCTATCGCCAACTAGCATCATTTTTAGGTAACAATAATAAAGTTATAGTAAATGGCATCAGACCTCCTCTGTGTCTTAATTGCACCCTTGGGATCATTATGAACCCTGTCCTGGACCAGAAAATGGACCGGGACCTAACAAAAGTATCATTAAATCATCTATCCATCCTAAGGGTTTAGAATGTGAATGTCAGCTAAGGATTATTTGCTCATTTGTCCTTGTGCTTTGGAAATTCTCTTCCCAACTCCATAAGGAACCTCTTTCCAGTCATTTATGAAGAATCAACATTGAAAGGCCAGACCAGACCAGAGGAATAATTCAAAAACACCTAAATCCTACCTGTAATGATTAGATACCAATTTAAAACTGCATGTGTCATGTAGATGGACAAACTGACCTCACTCGACAGTCGAAGGCAGCAGAGCTGTACCAAGGCATAACAGCCAGCAAGGACTGAAAAAGAAGCTTCTCAGTGCAGGTGGACTCAGACTGCATCTGAGTGGATCACTCTAAGCTTCTACATCAAACATGAGACATAACATGGAGCGTGTTGCA